TCGAAACATTTCAATTGTGTCAAGTGCATATTATGATAACGACAGGATATATCCGTGGTTTAATAGATTTGAGGACACCAATGATTATTATCAATTATGATTTACCGAAACCTGATGCATATGCTCGGAGGTAACGTAATGCTTAGTACTTCTGGAAATTCAGAATCAGTCGATGAGATAGAGTCAGAAGAAGTTGGATACATGTAAACAGAGAAATCTTTGGTCATCTCTTGATAACTTCATTTAGGAGTATTCTGAAGAATTACTTCAAATGAATTTCAAACTGATTTCTTCCATATTCAGGATTAATTTCGTGGGTGAATCCTGGATTGCCAAGCACACCGTCTTTATATCATTGATTAAAATGAGTGAAAGACACAAACTAACGCAGATAAAAGAAAAACTTGGCTTACGGTGGTTCCTGGTGTTTCCGGACTGAATTTTAATTTTAGTTCAAGATGGTAGATATTTTTGAAAGTTTGACTTATTCTTAATTTATTAATGCACTACTTCAGAATCTCCAATTTCTATTCTTCTATTCAAACATTGTAGCTTTAACTACTAAATTCCCTCTAAACAACTAGGAAGGCATGCATTTTCAAAATTTATTTAGGATATATTAAATACTATTTCACCGTCGTGCTTTCTTTTTTTTTCGGACCAAATAATTTTAGTAATAAAGACCGCTATTAGAATAATTAATTATTAAGTGCTTGAAATTAAGTCCATCTTTTGCTAAATAATCCGTCTCTTAGGAAGCAAGACATCATTTTCACCAGTCCTCGAATAAAAACCAAAAAAGTAGTCCATATCATTCAAAAAAAGAAAAAAATTCAAGCAATCCTGCTATAGAATCTCGACATGCTCTTCACAATGTGACTAGAACTTTTCAATTTTGTTGAGGATTATAACAAATTTCTAATTCTAAAATTTTCAATAGAACCACTGGTTCATGTGACAGTCGTTTTTATCTTAACATTTAGCACCATAAAATCTGTCAGTATATTATTTGCATCTTCTGTATTACTATGAGATCTGAAACAGAGACCATATTATTTAATCATTTCTAAACGTTTCGTACTTGTTTTGAAAAGTACTGATAAATTGTAGAATGTCGATATGTTTCCCACATTCTAAAACTGTCAGTATAATAATGAGCGAATGTGCTATTGAAATAAAATAAATTTTTCGCGCAAACTTTTTAAGAGTGCAATTCACAATTTGTAAAGAGTAAAAAACATGTTTTCCGGACTGTAAATTGAATCGAAACACACAAAAATAGAAACACCTTCAATGTTTTCTCTGACTTGACTTTTCGGTTTCAAACTCTTCCCCATTTTTTGTAGAAATAAAAAATGCAAACCATTTTATAGTAGGAAATAATGGATAATCTTTTTCTTTCAATCATCTAAATTATCTACAATAGAGAATAAAAAGTTAGACAACTACAGTCAATATTCAAAATTGTTTGAGTGCCATAGTACCGTTTTCAAACAGTGAGGCATTTCGTTCCATTTCGGCCATAGCCTGAAAAAAAGGAAAATACGTCAAGCAGACTTTTTTGTTTTAAGTTTCAAATCTTCACAACGGGGAAAGAAACATTTCAGAATATTTGTAACATTATAGAAGAAATTACGTTTATAAAACGCTTATAACAGAAACTATAGGCAAAGAAAAATCATAGCGAGTAATTATAGGGAGTAAGCTCTAATTTTAATAGAATAAAAGACTTTTCGTTGGGAAACGTAATAACACCACACTAAAATTTCTGGCCTCGTTTAAAAAAAGAAAAATTGAAAATCAAAGTTTTTTGATGCTATGATGCTACCTCTTCACTGAGCCTTCTGGGTGGTGGTGGTCGAAGTTTATCGGCATTGAGGTATAAAAGCACAAAACTAGACAACTGAATCGCTGTTGACAGTAACGCCAGCCCAAATTTGGCCTGTAAAACCATGTACATCTCTTCCAAAACAGAAAATTTAATTACATATAAACGTTGATGATTTGCATTAAAAAAAGTAAAATTTTTAATTGCAAGTAAACTAGTTAAGGAAATTCAATTACATATACAACAAATTCACGACTTGATCACCCTGCTTACAAAAAGTAAGAAAACAGTCACCATCAACAACTGTGCTAATAGCTTGATAAAATTATCTTTAAAGTTAACTTAATATTTCAGCACACTACGATCTACTGTTCTTTTTGTATCCCAATTTCCAAATCCATGAAGGGTAAAAATCACGGATAATAACGATAGAGACAAGCGAATAAATTTGGAATTTCAAAACTTCAAATATTTATAACTTAGATGCACTACTGCGACAGAACAAAAAAAATTAAAAAAATAAAACCAACATGATGACTTATAAATCGTGCAGGTGGTGCAAATTCATGGCCCAGGTGAAAATATCGAGTACCTGAAGCGATTCTAAAAGCACAGGTTGCAAGTCTTTTCGAATAAAGCATCTCTTACGTCGCAGCTGCAAAAGTTACAAACTGCAAAATGATAAAATATATGCAATGATGCGATAATATCCCCTCAAATGAAGATTTAAAAAAAAAGTTCTGTAAATAGTTACCTACAGCATACATATAAAAAACATATTTAAGGACTGCTGAGGGTTATAAGTCAAATACATATCTGTCATAATCTTTTTGATATAAAATGTTCATGTCTATCCTACTGTCATACAGTACCAGAATAGACATGAACATTTCATATCAAAAAAATATTGTAAGCAAAAATTTTTTCTACTGTTCACCAGCAAAAGCACGTATTTCTGCTAAATATAAAATTAGTACTACTGTCATAATTAATGATTGGCTGTAGATTAACTGAACTGAAATATGACTTAAAAGGAATGTCCTTCAAATTCTAATCCATAAGAAAACATGCATATATTATTTTAATTAAAATGGATACAATGCATGTTATAAAAGAGGAAAGTTTATAGCAATTGTAAAGTGTTACATTCACGTCTAACTGAAGCCTTATGCGTCTTAATACAAACTACTTGAGTTAGAATGTTTCTTTGCTATATAAATAGAATGAAATTTTATTTATGCTAAACAGACTCTACAATAATCACGTTACCCTAACCTTCAAAACAACCACACAACTGCAGAAAACAATCACGCAATTCATTTGCTCAATCAGATATAGACCAAGCATCACTGTGCTATTTTGACACACTCTTTATGACATATTGTGCTATAAGAAATGAAGCACAATGGCTTGAGTCAGCCATCACTGACCCCAGATGACCAATGAGTGCTGTTTAATAGCGCAGCGGGGAGTGAATTAAGTCCTCTCATTAAGTCATTATTTCTATTCTTCATTGAGAATCTTTTCTCTTTCCTCAATTACCTTCTAGCTATTTAGTTGCACCATAGTTCTGTTGCGTCATAATTCCAACGGTCTCATAAACGTAAAACAATCCGTCTCTTCCCCCTTGTTCTTATCCATCTTTTGTAACGTCATGAGATCCTCTTCCTTGACATATAAGTTAATATTAATGCGTAATTTAAAATACTAGCAAGAGCCATTAACCAAATCAGCGAAACAATTACAAGAATGATCTTTTAACTAAAATATTTATGAACAATATAGTACAAAAGGAATTAGAAATAAAGGTCACCAAATACTACGAAATAACAAACTAATACAAAATGTCCCGTTTGTTTACAACAGAACATTGAAATATTCAATAATTCTATCTTTCAAGCATTATCTTTCGGACAATATGAAACCACGAAAATGCAATATCCCCAATAAAAAATAACTACAATTACAAGAAGACTTGGGAAAAGATATGATGCAGCTATATATTGCATATAATGCACGGGTCAGCCACAAATTTAAATTCAGCCTCTTTACTTCTGGAAATAAGGCATTAATGCTTGCTGTCTGTCAGCTTACAGATCTCCTCAAGGCCCATTTCTTAAGGTCAAGAAGAAAAGGTACTACTTTGCATGGAAGTTAAAAACTTGTTCTGACAGATAACCAGCAATATGACCTTTGGTTTTTAACAATACTGCAAAAGTACCTGAATTACAAACCAAATACATTTAAAAACTTGAGAACAAAAAAATAAAGAAAATGATTCAACACAAGCTCACGTGCACAGTCAGCGTATGAGCAAATAAATTCCATTTCTGCGATAAAACTTCTAGTTACAATGAAAGGTCAACAGATACTCAAAACAATAAATGAAAATGCTGAGATGAGAGAATTAACAAAAGCCAAGAAGCATTTGGAATTCTCCGGAATTTATGTACTTTTAAATTCCGTTCTTTCAATCACCTGAATGTAAAGCCATGCCGAAATGAAACCGACACGACACACGAAGATTTAAGGAAAAGTTCAATACCAAAACAGCTTAAAATAAGCAGTCAAAATCTTAAAATGAGAAAACGTAAATAAGGAAAACTGGGAAAGTATATGACACAGTGAACCCCAGTTTGTTTTCAAACACAGTAGACTCTAGTTGTTTCCAGTTTCTCAAAAGTTCATCAGCTATTCTTATATCACATCAGTTAAAAAGATAAAATGTTAGATGAAAATATATTTCACATTTTGCTATTTATATAAGATTTATGTAAGAAATATAAGCAGAGTTTCGCTTCAATAAATTTCATCTAACTAGTACACACTATAGAACTGAAAATACTTCATATAATCATGTCCCAATGTCTTTCCCTGTATTAGTATATAAAGCTCAAAACTGAGAGATTAAACTGAAACTTAATGTCTGCTATATATATAAGCCAATCAATGTGTATTATCCTGGAAAAATGATATACTACTTATGTGTGGAAGGAAAGCAGATGTGTACTCATTAAGGTATAAATGTAATTTTTCTCTACATACTAATACAAAGCACGAAAATAGATGAAGACATGAAAAAAGAACTAGTGGTAATAACTGGCACGAAAATCAGTCACCTTTTCTAACTTGTTGATACATACTCAGAAGCCTTAGATTAAAGATAGATTTTTCAAATGTTGAAAGTACCGCCATCAAAATTCTTTAGTCTACTGTTATGCATGGTGGGTTCTGGAGGCAGGACAATCGAAGGTATACTGGACTGGACCGTAACAGTCGTGAGAGCTGATGGTGCTGCACTCAGTGGCCCACTTTTCATTCGAGACATTGCCGATGAATTGATGTTCAGTGACTGTGCATGAGCAACATTAGAGTAACGAGTACTACTTGATACTGTAATACCACTGGGAGTTGTGCTGATAATGCGGCGCTTAAAACCGGCATCCATTGATGGATGTGAAATACTATTCGTACGCTTCACTAAAGATCTTGCAGTAGTAGTAGGCCTCACGGTAGTACCATTTGTTCGTGAAGAAACCGCTTTGATATAATGGCTTGTTGTAGGCCTTTTAATTATATCATCCTTCATAAGTTGTCTGTAAAATGAACAGCTTATTCGTCATTACCTTTTAAGAAAAGGCAACTTTAAAAGTTTCTTATAGAAGGAAAAGGTCAATAATTTTGAAAGCATATTATTATGATACAAATACTTGGCAGCTTCTTATGCTTCAGTTGTGCTCACTTATTTTGCAACTGTAATCTGTTGAATATTTCTATCCGATATGTTCAATCTAACATCAAAGTCTCAAAATCAGTAAAAACTCTCCCACTCATTACAACTTACACTTCCCTTCCTTGGACTGTTTCACTGATGCGCTGCAAATCGCTTGCAAAACGAGAAACTGCGTCATGCAAACTATTGGTATCCGAACTTGTCCATTTCCTGAAATTTCGTTATTTAAAGCACATCCTATTTTTTTTCTGGATCCATCACTAATGAGCTAATGAGCAAAATGTCCCTCTGGATATAAAAAAATATAAACAACCAGCAATATTTAGCGACATTTATGGTGACATAGAAATGCAAAGGTCACCACACCAGACGTAACAACCAATAAAAACCTTCCCAGCATTGATTCAAACTCTCTAGTATTCGCTCCATCGTTCATACTGACCTTTCCAATTTCGTTCATTTATTTGATACTGGTATCAAGAATTAAAATTACAAAATTTCCAGACACAATTACACTTTTCTACAGTTCGAATGAAATAAAAAATTGTGGGAGATCTGGTAATGAAACCTATAGCTGAAGTCCATTCAATAATTAGAAGCAAAAAAGAACCTCTCGACTCCATTTTTCGGATTATGCAAATTTGCAATAAGTCCACCCAACTTCTGAAAAGCTTGTCCAGCAGCCAAGAAGACTTCCGAAACCTGACAATGAAAACTTTTAAAGTACCAGTTTTGCATTTAATCTAGCAAAATATATCGGACAGAAAACACATATTTAACACCTTTTTTTCATAATGAAAAATCCTGCATTAATGCTAAAATGTCCGAGCACACTACCCAAATTCAACTTGATGCTTAATCCAACAAACAACCACTCAATCAATGGTGACTTCTATCAGTACTAGTGACAGCCAACGCAATACAAAAGACAGTGTATTAAAAATTTTGTAATTTCAACTGACGTAATATATATATTAAAGTACCTTTTGAGCAGAAGCACCTGAATTGGTCGGTTGCTCTTTCAGATTCTCTGTGGCAGGCATGGACGCACTCGTCGACGGCGTTACGTCACCTGGACGGCAATTCATTTTGCTCCTCCAAAAGATTACATTCAACTTTTTTCTCATTACACAAACAACAAGCGGCTTCCTTTCTTCTACTCTCCTAGTTAGGTAACAGCAAGTGGCGGTTCGCACTGGTAATATCACTGCTCACCTCCAACTGTTACCTCTAAAGCAAGATGCAACCTTCTAGCACGATGTCTTCAATGTAAACAAAAAGAAGACCCCTGTCCCCTCACAAATGTTCACGCAGTCCACGAATGAAACATCCATCCCAGAAGAGGAAATTAGTTGAATAGGCTTGAAGATGTCGCAGGAATGCCATGGCTTTATCGATATCTGATGGAAGTAGATTTACATTAGCAAATTCTTTAGTATGATTTATTTGTAATTCACTTGTAGTGAGCCGCAAGCTGTGAATACAAAAAGCACAAAGTATTAAAGAACCAAAGAACCGTTGAAGAAGAAACTTCCAAAATTGTATTTCCAATCATTTCTTCAACACAATGTCAAGAAAGAGTCCAATGTTTCAATGCTACTCTTGTCGCATAACTCAATTAGGTAAATGGAGCTATTAACAGTATTTCCATTATGTATCTTTCGAGAAATCTTTCATCCGCCGCAACAATATTAGAAATGGTAGAAATCGAAATACACCAAGATATCAGCGGGATGATTCCGAAAAGATAATCATCATAGAATTTGTAGAGGAATGAAGACGTCAAACAAGAACAACTCCCGAGACTTATTTTTTGCTAATTGATATGCAGATATGCACATTTAATAATTTACGATTTCTTCACAAAATTTATTTTATTTTATCACTGAGTTTCAATTATTATAATACATAAGTACTCTGAAATGCGGAATTACAGTAGTTGATTAGTTATACAAAAATTATGGAATCCAAACGAATGCAACATAATATAACATAACAAGAAATATACTCAGCCATAATTTCATTCTTTCACTTCATAAAGAAAATAATTTCTACTCTCCACCTTGTTCAGCAGTTGTAGCATTAGAAATGACCATAAAAATTAAAGCTGCAGCTATATACATCCACTAAAAACAAGTCATTCATTATTTGTACTATTAATTATTTTCTAACAATGGTATATTTAGATTATAGAAACCACAAGAACATACAAACATCTTTTAATTAGAAAAACCGATAGTTTTTTTCCACTTACATATTTCTGTATAAAGGATCGATTATCCTGTTGAGCCCCATGTTGCCTCGCTTGCCGCTCCTTCTCCATCTTTCGAATATATGAAATTGTATCAGGCCTTAAAGAAACCATTAGTGTACACATTTCAAAAAATTGCCGTTTGGCACTATTAACTAAACATTTTATACTTCATTAACTATTCAATTATTTTCTTTTAAAGTTACTAGAAGAAATTACAGAGGCAATTCATTAATTGTGTTCACCACAACCGATCCTCTAATTTTATTCTCCTCTGCAAACGAATTTGTTTCGCAAAAGTGATAATTTGTTCCAACATAAAATAAATTCTCCGGAAAAACAGCCAAAGACTGCAAATTCTGACGATCCGGGTCCAACAGTACCCGAAAATGGTGAGCTCCGTTAGCTTGCAACATCAAACACTGAAATCTGATGGAAATAACTGTTGCGTTTTCAAAGGACCTTTGCAAAAACTTTAAAAAATAACATTTCTTGCAAGTGTACTAATAAAGAAATTAATTTGCCAGTGTTTAAATTAGTTTTGAAACGTCGAAAATCTTTTTTTAACTCCAAAACTGTGCATGAAGTGGCAATATCAGGAACTTTATTCTAGCAGATTTTAATTATCAATCATTTAGTTACTGTTTGACGCACACAAATATTTTACACAAGTTGACATTGTAGAATCCCAACTAAATTGACCCACCGGTTCATTGTAACCCTGTACATTTTCTTTATCATTGTCAGCTCTAACGCGATAAATCCACCCATTCTTTGTAGCTCGCAAGAGATCACTTTGCCATTTATTTGGATTAACAGAAGATTGAAAATACGCCGTATAATTACTATCAAATGTCCTATCCACAGTTATGCTACCAAGCGGAACGAAATCGTCTGCATCTGTAAATAAAAATAAATATTAAACAAAAAATTTGAGAAATATGTAGGTGACAGTTCAAGTATTCCATCTCTGAATTCAGTTTAAAATGAAAATCAGTTTCCAAATCCAGTTTTATCTATCAGTCAAATTTCCGATAGTTTTCAGAATTTGTATTAATCCCTTCCAAGCCTTCTTGTGAAGCAAAATTTTCGCCCCCTCGAGATATGCAAAACTTATTAGGGGAAAAGAGTTGTGTAATAAAAATAATAGAATAGAACCTGAAGCCGAATATTGCAGATCGATCTTCCAATGACCAATTGCTTGAACATACTGTAGAGAACAAAACAATAAAACAAACATCCTGCAATAGAGCCTTTGACTTGAACGTTTATTATAGTACAGTTTTATAAAAATTCCTCCCAAATCAATCATTCAAATATTCCAATTTGGCAGCAAAAGTGGAAAATGACTGTATGAACTTCACCGAAATTAAAAAAAAATAAAATAAATCAAGATTTTCTTATGACATCGCTCTAATTAATTCTTTCTTTCATGGTTGTTCTGAAAAAGAATTAGTTTATTGAAACGAAATTCTTTTTTTTTTTTTACAAAAGTAAGAAATCGAACTGAAACCACAAAATAACACAAATAATTTTCACAAGATGTTCGTGCAACCGAATCATAAGTGATTATGAGAAATTTAAGATTTTATTCGAATATATTTATCAACTCTGATATTTATATGAACTTTACATCTACAAAAATACAAACAACATGACAATGATATGGAATCTGTACAATTACTGTTACAAAAGAAAAAAAAAGTTAAGCAACATAAATCATCCAAATGAGTTCACCAAATTCAACATAAACAAGCTGAATGAAAAATAAAATGAATGTTTTAGAATTTCTTCAGAACATGAAGCAGCCGAAAATTTTTCACTAAAACATTGCTAAGTGAAAATTATTGCAAAACTATAGTAAACTTCAAGTTTGGAAGTCTGAAACAAAAAGTTCCCATATAGTATAATTTGTGAAAGTTCGACGTCCCTTGAACCTTGCCAGATCTTTCCGAGTAATGATTCCACGAAGCTAAAAATCATTTCCTATTAAACATATAACAAATAAGAATTCGAATTTGAAATAAAACTGCAAATGAAATCATAATGATGTCCTAGAAAAAAATGTAAGTACTTTATTTTCATCGTCAACGACAGCTACGTAGCGCAGTCCTAATCCACGAAACAGATGAAATATAGATGGTAGTGAAGCAGTCAAAGGTACTCGATAAGGACTTGAATGCATATAAGGAGTTAAGTCCAGCCAACAATTTTTATCTTCTTCAGACAGTTGTAACTTTGCTAAGCATTTGTCATGCCTGAAAATACTCACAGTTCAGCGAAAAACGGAAGCTAGTAAAGAATATAATGGATTCTGAAATAACTTAACTTGGGTATTCGTCGGCGAAATCAGAAAGTTGAACCAATTCGCTTCCATCAACCAAAATATGACAGTCAGGATCCTCATAAAAAACCTAAAAATAGCTTAAAAATAAAGATGAAAAAATAATTTTAGACAGTAAGCTGGAATTATGAATGATGGTTCTATTTTGCTTGTCTGTAATATGTCCTATTTAGTTAATGTGACTGGAGAAAAAACTTTTCAGTGTCCTGGAAATAATTTGCTTTTCAAAATTAAAAGACCAAAGTGTGCAGAGACTTGTCACGAAAATGTACCAACTACCGTTAAATGATAATTGACTATCTTTGCACATCAGTAACAAAAATGAATCAATATATAACACAAATAACAAACGTTAGAAAATCTTCTAAACATCAACAAAATGAACCAGAAAAGAAAAAAAATAAGGACATCAGAAAAGTTAGCTTACCCGTTTCTTCATCAGAATAATCAGCTGCGATTTCAAGATTAACCCCTTCAGATGACCGTATTCCGGGATTTTTTCCTCAGTTGACGGAGAATTAATTTCATCAATAACCGGAAAACCGTGGTGTGATGTAGCATGTAAAACTTCAATCACGCGTGAAACACGTTCTCTTGGCATCATTGTTACTACATCCCTTCTCATTATACTCCTTGAAAATCTCCCTTCTCATTATACACCTTGAAAATCACGAAGAACTATATTACAAAACAAAAATGACATCTCCCTCATAAGTAAGCTAAGCATTTATCATACAATAATTTTCTTTTGCAGAAATATTCAGAGAAAATAATCAGAAGGTAAAGGAAGCTAATACGTATTTCATCTTAACGACAAAAGTTCTAGAAATTTTCTGTAACCCTTTTCAATCGGACAGAGAGAAGGTGATAAGGAGAAAGAGAGAGAGGCACATTTTATCAAAAGATAGCTAAAATTACGATTCCTACCCAAAATGTAGCGAATATCATTAACTTTCTTGATAAACCATTAGTTTTTCTCATCATTTGTAAAAATTTACAATCATAAACAAGATTCAGAGTGTTTGATATCTACAGAAATATTTGCTACACTACAAAATAGCTCATATTTGTGTAATATTTGTAAAGAAAGCTTACCCTGCCAATATATTGCGTGATAGTTCCGGTGCACACCAACCCAAAATCGGTACTTCATTTAATTCAATATGAGCATCGTAAAGACCCTAAAATAAGCATTACATAATCATTTAATAATACTTTTACATTACATATATATACAAAAAGATACCTCATTAAAGAAGTCGCCAACCCATTTAGTAACCATGAGAACAAGCATTATTGGCAAACCAAATGTAATATCTCTGGTTGCTTCAACGAGAATAGCAGTTAAGCTAATTGTCATCCGTACAACACCACCCAGTTGGGCTGCAGCTCCGGCAAGAGCATATTTACCAGGATGAATACCAGTCTGTTTAAAAAATATTTAGCAACAACAATTCTAAACATACAATTCAATACCATCAAAACCAAAAAATCGAAAATGGCTGATGTAACTTATCACTTACAACGTCAGGAAACATATATTCGACGATAACTCCAACAAGACGACCCCATGATGCACCAGTTAACAAGGTGGGTATGAAAATACCGCTCGGTACTGATAGCCCATATGTCCATAACGATAAGAAGTAATACTCAACAGCGAAAATTAATAACGTACTTGCCGCATATGAATCTAAAAAAGTACACCGAAATAATTGTTATCACAAAATAATTAAAATAGGGTTTCAAGGTACTACTACTTTCCTTAGTAAAATAGCTCATGAAAGCTAAACAAGAAAATAAAATTGCAATTTCCTTAAAAAACATCCAATTCCGAAAATTATCAGCTCACTTGTTGGACTATGAAACAGACTTTTAACACTTTCTTCTGGACTTTGAAAGAATAAATTTGCAACAGCGCTGTATTGACCCTTGCGACACCACAACTGTGAACCAAAATTTGTTTATTTATGCATGTCAGTTAAGCAGAAAATTGATTTTCTCCTCAATTTTTTTTCTAAAAATTTGGACGTTGTTCCCTCGACCAAAAATTTCGCACGAAAATCTTGAAATTCCACAAATTTGATAAATATCAAATTATCATAAAAGAGATCCGTCAAGCACATTAACCTTTGTAACCTCAGTTAATTTTGGATTACGGCCAACAGGCTGGCAATCATTTACTACGAAAAGTGTAACAAATCCTGTAAACGCAGATGCTGCAGCTACTAGTAAACACTCCATCAACTTCTGGCATTTGCTTCGAATATATCTTAAATGAAAATAAATTTCAAAACACCAAAAGAAAACAATTTAAAAAGCATTACAGACTTCCTCTTCATTTCTTTTAATAATATAACACACAGTTATCATCCCATAATTTTTCGCAGCACTCGAAATTATAACTAACTTCTTCCTGAATCGTGAAAGTTTCAAATTAAGGGAATTGAATAAAGCACCAGAAAGGCCTCCAAGAACACCAATGAGAAGAAAGATCGGTATTTCCCAAATGTTGTAGCTATGATTCTCAAAAAAAAAAAAAAAAGATGTATTTTTCAATATGAAGCAAGCTTTATTATATATATTAACAAAAAAAAAAACTGATCAAGTGATTGTTAAAAGTTTTAAGTAACTATTAAATTAAAAAAAGTAGTTATCGACATAAAGTGAATATCACCTCGAAAACACCGAAATTTGCTAGCCCATTCCATGATAAAAAACCACCAACTCCATGAAATACACTGAGAATGCAATTCAAAGTAAATGATGATATCATGGCAGCAAAAAACTGAAATGAGCTAAAACTTTGCCGCACGTCGAATGGAAATAGTACAACTACCAACATGCCGGAAAATTACTACTTGAAAAATTTCATGCATTACTAAGAAAGAATAAAATTTAAAGTGATACCAAGAAATTACTTAAAAAAAGAGTAGAAAAAAGAAACCATGCGCCACGTTAAACTTTGATTCCAAAAGCTAGCCCCTTCTTCTAAACTGAACAAAACTCCACCAATTGGCGCACCAAAAGCAGCAGCTACTCCAGCTGCAGCACCTGCACTCACGAAGTCGCGCTTTTCGCTGAAAATTATTTTTTCAAAAAAAGTAAGTTGCTAAACTCATACATTGCTATTGAAAAATCAAACTCACCGATCATTTCTAAATTGTTCGAAAATGTGGAAATCGAGTGAGAAAGTGACGCATTTGCCTTGTGAAATACCAGCTGCGACTACCGCTCCAGAATGAATCATTGGCCCTTCCTGTATTTACTCTGGGTAGAATTTATGATTAGCAAATCATAAACAATTGTGCGATTTAAAAAGTTGAGTAAGCAACTATTCAATAACAATTCCATTAAAAAAACGACAGAAACAGATAAAAACAATATTACCTTTCCCGCACTCAAGCCACCAGCAACTGTACATGCTACACCAAATGCTTTTGCAAACAAAGTTTTTAATCGTACAACACCCGGTATTTCTACACCATTTAGAAAACATTTGACTTGTGATATACCTAAAGGCTAATCATTAACAGTCAATACCAAAACATTTACTTATGACTACAATTTTTTTTATGAATACTTTTTAAAAGCTGTCCAAAATAAACCTGAACCAGCAGCAATAGGAGATAGGAATATAACTAAACATGCGGAAATAGTGACCAGAATACAATTGTAGCAAATCCATGCAAATTCTACCGTCCATATGCAACCACCACCAACTTCCATTCGTTTCTCACAGAAATTTAACACTGAAAATAAAGAAGAATCATGACATACAATACGTATTATTTGCAGTTATGAAAGATGAATTCATAAAATGCTTACAATTGCTAATGATCAAGCGGAATTTGACTACACTACTGTAATATATCGTTATATCTATAGCAGCCGCAACAATAGCAGTTAAAACTCCAATAAAGAAACACACTACCCAACGATTCACTGATTGGCGAAAAAGTTTTCGCTGCAAAGAAAGGATAAATTTTAAAAATACACAGTTTTTAATTATTAATTTGATTAAATGAACAACAATTTCCAAGTAAGTTACAACGAATTCACAAGAGATCTTATAAAACAAAGCGATAACGAAGAACATTGTTTAAAACAACAGCGAATATGTGGTATTTCAAGCATTACTTCACGTTGATTTAGGAAGATTTCGCAGTTCGAATCTTCCTAACATCATAAAAATTTGTGTAACCAAAGAAACAAATAGATAATTGGAGCATAAAAAAGTTTCATTGAAAAATGAGTGCATACCTGATGACCAGGTTCCATCTCCTCAGCCCGAAAAAGCTTATTTTCAACAATTTCATAATTCAAACTTTCATATCGTGAAGAAACTGCGCCTTCTTTCTCCATGTTTTTAAATGAATCATATTGGCGAGAATCTTCTAATTCACGTTGCTCCTGTTCACGACTTCTTCGCCTTATTTCTGCATTCTCATTTGCAAAAGATGCTACCCTTTCGAGACCCGTTGCAGGATCTTCATTTGGATCCAAACTAAAATTATTTACTGTATTCAAAAAAAAAAAAGAAAAAAATACTTTCACTTGGATTTTATTCTCCAAATGACATGACTATTAAAAGAGTTAAACTATATCGGTAACATTTCTTTTATCGTTAATTCTATTCCATTTGCATTGAATTCTACAAGACTTTGAATATTATATTTTGAAATCATTCGAAGTATTACTTCTCATATTCGCTTAGCTTCCCTTATTTCTAACACTCGATTTATGATAATATCGAGATTAAGTAATGTCACTGAAACCACAATTTTAATCAAATGAGTATCAAGATCAAATATATGACTGAAACTATAATTTCAATTAAGTGAAAGCTATAAGCAATCAATGATCAATTCAAAAAAGAATGCTAAACTAACGTTGTTAGTAATGGCGTTCGACCACTCATGCAGCTAAAATAAATGATACTGATAATCTCATATAGAGTACCAGATGATTTAAAAATTAATCAAGTAAATTACTCTAACACAAATCAAGCAAGTGATTAAAATATCATATCAAAATGAAATTGTAGAAAAAGTCTTCAAAAATTACAACGGGAAATTGGTAAAAGATAACAAAAAAATTTCCAATTTTGACCTCCTAACTTTAGCACATATGAGAGTAAATCATCATGTAATAATGAAATTTCCATTTGAATGCTCAATTATATTGAATTCTACAAAATTTTGACGATTTTAATTTTAAAATCATTCCAAGCATTACTTCTCTTATTTGCTTAGCTTTTCTTATTTCTAACACTCAATTCATGACAATACCTAGGTTAAGTAATATAACTGGAACTATAATTGCAATTAAGTAATTATATTTGCCTCCAAACTGGACTAATTCCAATTCATTATTCACCAATTCTCTGTACTCCCATTTAAATTCAGATCAAATAAATCACTAACTTCAACCATATTATGAATTTCAGACAATCAAGCAAGCACATTAATGATTTCAATTTATTTTTCATTATTTTATTAATATTAGTTCGCATTAGAAACAAAATAAAAAAAAAACCGAAAATATAAAAAAATCCTTGCATAAACTATTGAAAAAATTTTTTTTTCGAACAAAAAAAAAGGAAGTCCTTGAATAAACTATGAAATAGATCGAAATGATGAATTTCCATTTAGACAAACAGAACAAATAATAAAGTGATACTTCATATTGACAAATAATAAACATAAACACAATCGATGACAGCTCTTCTGTAGAATAAGCCAAAGTGCCAAGTGATGTGTCAAGAGGTTGCATGTTATCCAATCTTTTCATTTTAAAATTGCAGATATAATGTCAAAGTTCAACGAATATTTGTATATCATTAAGAGTTATCAATATTGAAATAGATCAACAATACAACAATTTTGACCAATTTTCATTGGTAAATGTTATGCAGTCACAGCTTTTATAAATGTTTAACCTTCTCAATATTTTTCTTTATATAAACAATGGTTATAATTCTTAGCTTATCGCAAAATGCAATTCATTTAAATCTACAGCAATGATTAGCACTTGACGAGATGAATAATGAATAAACACCTATTAAATTTCACAGTATTTAAGACTAAATAAGTAATCTTTCATTTTACTTAAACCATTTTTATTGAAAACGAAAATTAATTTAAACAAAATATGAAATTTAAGAACTACTACGCAATAATTATGGTTAATTATTACTAAACTGCACAATAATTACGTTTAATTATAATTATCATGCAGCAATTCTGTTTAAACTGATGTGAAAAGAAGTCATTAAAAACTGAGTAACTGATTTGTACATACTGTTCTCTCTCTATCAAAAGATATAAATTCATAGACAATGACCATCTCACTTCGCAAATTAACTAATTAGAACATTCACATACTAGCTTATTCATCGTTTTAGTAATAATGCTGCTTCTGTTGATCAACAGTGAGGATAACAGAAATTCAGTTCTTTTCTGAGCAAAAAGTGTAAAAACTTCCACAGTTACTGTTTCAAATAAGTAGAGTGAGTTCATTGCTATTACGACATATGCTTTTAAGTTTCTGCAACGGTTTATATTAAAAAATATTTAGCAAATCAAAGATAAGCATTATTGAAAAGATAGTGTAAAATTAAACAGGAATTACTAGGTTATAATTCAAAATACAACAAACAAACAAAAAACTTATTAGGGAAAAAAAGAAACTTGATCAAAATGAAAAGCAACCTTCATATATCTTTGATCTTCTTAGAAACGAGATATTTCAATTAAATACTTCTCGAAAGCCTCTTGATGCCTTTTAATAACAAGATCTCTTAGGTTCTGATCATTGAGTATTTCCAGTAACAAACTGATGGCAGCATTGTTAGTTTGTGCATTTGCGCCGTTTCCAAACTTCTTTCGTTCATCCTGTGTCTTTGTTGAAGTTGATGTATTTGAACTAACTTGATATTTCATTTCGATCTCTTTTGAGCAGCTCGCAGTCTCGGAAGCTAAAAATCCGTTAGTTAAAGTATACTTCTACAATAAATAAATCAGAGAATTACTTGTCCATAATAAGTACTTTACTAGCTCTTACAAGAATTCAAATGATTGGAAACGTTTCTTATTATTAAATCTTTTTTAAAAGAACCAAAAGAACTTTTAAGAAACAAACAAACAAACAAACTTTTCAAAACGAAATCCGTGATTGCGAATATACCCGACTCATTAAATGTTTTATTCCACTGCCATAGATATACCTTCGGTATATTAAATAGTGTACTTCCCAGACCAAATTCAACGTGATCCGCTCTACTGTCTACTTTCCAGACTCTAATAGGTGATTCATTCTGCAAAATAACATCAGAGAATTATGAAGCTATAATCCATTTTAGCAATATCCAGAATTGCAGATTATACACTTCTCAAACACTTCTAAAAATCAAAAATGATTTCCATGTGAATAATAATAACATTGATAATGATGATCAGACTGGGACAGAACAAATAATTATTCGAACAATTATTCATTATTCAAACAATTCTAGCATTTTGAATGGATAGAAAAGATAAAAAAAACTGCTTCAAAATTCCTAGCACAGCATATTCATATTCACTAATATCAAACAGTTGGCGATTTATGAACAGTTTGTATCCGATGCCAGTGAAACAACATTAAGCAATATTAAATTCTTTATTAAAAACTGACCTCATTTAACACAACCCAGAATCGTGTCCCAACCACTGGTGGCCACAGTATTTTATCGGTACAACCAAACGCGAACTTATGCAATTTGATAATACCAAAGGGTGGACATAGAAAAGCAGCTGTAGCACCTTCAGTTGAGCTGGGATGGCGCTCACGTAAAACTACACCAAGGAATTTCTATAAAATTCTTACTAAGCACTGTAGTTACAACTGTAATGATATCTTTAATCTGGTTAAATAAAGAAGCAAATTCAATGTATATGAAGAGTTTAAAATCATAACTTCATAATTCAATTCAAAAACTCTTAAATGATAAATAAATGAAAAAGAATCTAAAATCATAACTTCATAATTCAATTCAGAAACTCTTAAATGATAAATTAATGAAAAAGAATCTAACTTGATCACTACATGTTTCCGGAATAATGACTTGCTTTGCGACTTTTACAAGTTTATTGCCGCAAGAATAAGTGTATCCTTGAGAAAAGACTAAAATATCCTCTAAAAAGAATACCTGCAAGACATTTCAAGTCTCGATAACAAATTTGAGATTAGAAAAAAAGGTCATAAATAGAAGTAAAAACCTGATCTTAAAAAAACCTCACTAACTCACAAATTCCTCTGAATTCGATTACCTAAATACTGATTTACATTTTGGTAAATCAATTATCTAAATTTATTTATAAAAAGTTCATTAAAATCTAAAGCCAATTTTTTGTTAAAGAATTGATATTTCGCTAAGCTATCATTTGATTGCCCCAATTCTCACACTTCTCTGATCGGTCTATCAGTGGTCTCATAAGATATAATTTGCATTACATCGCTTATACAATTGGCGGCGAGTATTAAAAGGCAGCAGTACAACCTGCGTTAATCAAACTACACATATCAAATTAAAAATATGCTCAAAATCACCATTTTTTAAAATTTTTGTCCAATTTTCATCACATGAATTACAGCACGGCCCAAGATCAATTGATTCTGGCCCGAAGATGTATCGTAACCCACTCTTGGGACATATAATTTCTCCAACTCCATCAACGAAACGATCAAAATGTCCCAAATGAAATCCACTCCCATCATTCTGACGAAATAATATTGACTGATGTGCACTTGATAACGGTTGAATCGTTGACATTCCTAGAATACCTCAAAAAACTGTATTAATTTATATTAATTTCTAGAGTACTATTTCATTCGATTGAACGAAAAATCACATTTCTGATCTTTCTTATCTGTAAATGAAATAGAAGAGTATTTTTCTTTACCACTACCAACCATTTCCCTTTCCCTCTATGCTATCAAAAAAATCTCGTCAAAAAAAAAAAAAAAATCTATCACCACCTCTTCACTAATTAAGTTTTCAATCACTACTTTTTTTTTTTTTTTTTTTTAAAAAGGACTTAGTGGATGTATTAAAGTAAGAGCAACTCTTATCAATATAGGCCTTAAACATACAAGAATGAAATTTCTTTTCCAATCAAAAGCAGCTAAGGTATGAATTTCAACAACAAAAAATTCCTTGAACAAAAACACGAGATGTAATCAAACAATTCACTGCTTCATTCCGTGAAAAAAAAAAAGAAAAAAGAAAAAAAAACGAGAAAAAAAGCGTAGAACAACACGGAAAAGATAAAATCACAGTTGAATACTTAACAGCAGCGAACCAAGAATTTTTATTTTATAATTTATTTCAAAAATAAAAGCCTTATTCACAAAGACAGTGACCAACAACACAACAGCTCATCATCATAAATCATAGAGGAAAACAAAAAAAGCAGATATTTGTATTACATAATTAGGTTCTCTTTGCAGAATTCGAAAATTAGAATAAAACCACCTACAACAATTTTCTTATGAAAGATGAATTTTAAAATTCTTCCGCACTCTCTGTATCACGAACATACTCGTTTTGGAAACGTTTGAATTTCTCGATAAGATCTTCTAATTTTACTTCACCTCTTACCTTAAAAGAAGAAATTTAATGAAATTTCATTCAGAAAATGGTCAAAAAAGGCACCACATTAATTTTACTAGAACAAGCGTACTGCTATCACTGTCCTAAAGTACCACCTAAATACAATGCTTGCTTCACTCCAAGATTCGAGGATAGATACATCTTGATAAAACACAATCACTACATAAGACTCTAATCCAGTATAAAGGAGTTTGTTTAGCCTAATTTTATCTACTGAATAAGGAAATTATTTGAAAAATACATACAAGAACTTACTGCATTATCACGAGTACGAACATTTACGGTTCCATTTCGTGCTTCAGCTGGTCCGACCACCAAAATAAAATTGAACTGCGCAATTTGAGCATTACGAATCTGTTTGTTTAATGTGTCTGACGAATCTATATCAAATTCAACCTCGAAACCTGCTTCGTATATCTGTAAATAGATTTAATGATTCCTTCTGTTTAGTACGGTTGAACTTTGAACATTACTTACACACCGAACATATGTTCAAGAAAATATCAAGCATTTTAAAGGCATAATAAACTATTAATCTGAAGTAAAACGTAGGTAAGTTCTTGTTCAATAATAACTCTTGCTGTCTTATGTCTTATCCTCCTCTAGAAAAATATAAAACGCAAAAAATCAAAAAAAAAAAAAAATCTTCATCAATTGTTTCTGCAATTAGTAACGGAACGATCACTAATGAAAAGATCGAAATGACTACTCATCTTAAATCCATTCTCAAAAAAGAAACTGGTAGGCGTTTGATAATGGCTAAACTTCTAACAGTCTCACAATTTAATTCTGGCATAAGCAACAAATTATCGGACTAGCAGCAAATAATCTATTTCCGATTACAAAAAAAACAAAATTAAAAAATAGCTAAGATCAAGAAAAAGTCAATATTCACTTCTTGTTGTACTTTTCTACCATAATCATTTTGAGATTCATGGACCGTGATCACTTTTGCCTGAAAAGAAATATAAACTGTTATTTTACCCTGTTCTCGACAACGCTGAACAGTGATTTCATATCTTTTCAAAAATTCAATGCAAATTTAGTAAAGATACAATGAAAATGTTAGTGTTTGATTTACCTGTCGTGGTGACAACCAAAATGGCCATTTGCCACCATAGTTTTCCGCTAAAATTGCAGTCATTCGCTCTATCGACCCCAATAAGGCGCGATGAATCATCACTGGTCTTTGCCTCTCATTGTTTTCACTAAACAACTCAGTTACGCATATAATATTACTACACTTGTTTTCATCATATTTTATGATGAATTCTCCTAGGTTTTTTTATGATTTTTTTTTATGAATTCTCCTAGGTATGAAGAACCATCCTATGATCCTAGGAAGCATACATATACATAGGAAAAAAAATTGTTTCACCTAGAAAAGCCAACAATCAGATTACAAATTATGCCGAAACAATTAAACGAATTTTTAACTGATGAGTTCTTTTTAAAATAAAAAAATAAAATGCAATGAACTTACTCAAAATAAGATAAATCAAATCGGACAGGTAACTGAAAATCAAGCTGTATAGTTGCACACTGATGGAGCCTTCGAAGAGCATCTTGAATTGTGATATCGATCTGGAACAAAAACAAATGTAGTTTTAGAGTTTAAAGTCAAGTAAACCATGAATCTTTAATTTTAAATTAGCTCAACCTTTGGACCATAAAAGGCACCATCACCAGGATTCAGCTCCCACTTATGTCCAGATGCATTTAGTGCCTCTCTCAATTTGTCTTCCGCAGCATTCCTGCAATTGAATATAAGACAAATTTTTCTCCACAGCATTATTGAAATCAACAAATCTACCTAATGATATTTTTAACATGAAACAAACGCATTACGATAAAGAACAAAAAGAACTTAATTTTAGACGTTGTGTAAAATTCAAGTCAAGAAAAATAACGAAAAAAATTGCAGCAAATTACTTACCATGTTTCAATATCACCCAGATATCCCACCTCTGGTCTGGTACTAAGATTCAATTTGAATGTGAAACCAAATACATCAAGATAAGCGTATTTGAGAAAATCGATACAACCCTGTGATAGAAAATTTATATCAACAAAAGAAGCATACCAAGACCAAAAAAAAAAAAAAAAAAAACAATTTATGAAAACTATGATTCGAAAAAAATCAGGAACTTAATTTAAATACCATTACTAAAGTAAAGCTTTTCGAAACGCACCATTATTTCTTCAACAACCTGATCTTGGCGACAGAAAATATGGGCATCATCTTGCTGAAAACGACGCACTCGAGTAAGACCAGTCAGTGCACCACTCATCTCGTTGCTTAAAAAATAAAATAGAAAAAGAAAAAACTGCTGAGCTTAATTAGAAAACTAATTCCTATAAAATAAAGGCAATTCACAGAAAAAATTTCTATAAAAATAGTTCACTAATCCTTCTAATGTTTCATAGATATCGGCCTCAAAATTATTTTAAAAAATAGTTAACAAACGTCATTTCAAGAATATTCGTTTATCAAAATAATGTAGCGTTTCTCGAAAATTTTCGAAATTTCCTACCGATGTAATACACCAAAATCAGCGTATCGCAGAGGCAACTCATTGTGAGTACGGGGCATATGGGAATACATCAAGCAGTGTCCTGGGCAATTCATTGGTTTAAGTCCAAATGTTTCCTTTTCAATATCGATTCTAAAATACAAATTATTTCGAATTTACTTTGAGAAAAAAACTCATCAAAATTTTTTATTGGTTACCAGAACTTTTTTTTTTTGCTTTGTTTGATTAAAGTATTGACAAAAATTACTTGAACATATTATCCGAATAATGCTCCCAGTGTCCCGACTGCTCCCACAATTTGCTATTGTACATATTCGGTGATATAACCTAAACAATGACAAAATGTTTTTGCAACAAAACAAAATATTTGTCTCAAATTCTCAAAAATTGCCCAAAGTACAACTTAGCATATTTTCAGGTTGAACGGTAAAAGAAAGACTTGAAACTAGCGCAAAATGCTAATGGTAGAATGAATCTTTCCTTTCATTAATCCGCTACTAGGTTCAAACCTTTATTTAGTGATATTAAAGGAAAAAAAATTCAGTAATGAGCTACAAAACAGCAAATGATGAAACCTCAGTAAATCCCCTTTTGCGATACTCTTTGCGTATGAAATTGCATAAGGTGTTGTAAATATGAGCACCTTTTGGATACCAGAAAGCTGAGCCAGGACTCAATGGATGGAAGAAATACAATTCCTGGTCACGTCCAATTTTCCTATGATCTCGTTTAGCTGCCTCCTCCTTAGAAAATTTAAAGTGCAACATTTATAATAAATATGCCAGAAAATTTTTCTTTTTACAAATATTATAATAATCATTAGAAGAATTGAAGCTCTAATGCAATACATCCCTAAAAAGTAAAACTCTAATGTGGTATCACTACTAAAAAGCCCGTTCAATACTGCCACTCAAGCAACATCTCTTTTTTGAACTTTTGAAGATGCTATCCACTTGATCATACTTCAAAGTCCTGACTGTTAATATAAATAATCTTGACAAAAATGCTCCTGAACATATCGCTGGAATGTTGGATAGCAATTATATCGTAAAGTCCAAATTAAAGTGATGAAAAATGTAGTGATCAAATGTATCTCAGTATTATTACTGCTGACTACAAACCTTGGAAGCCAGAGTTAAGACTGAGAGCTACTCATTGTTTTAATGAATACTTTTGCACATTTCTGAACGCTTATCTCTTCTAATTTCGAGAAAACGTGAAAACATGTGCTTCGGTAAAGAAGCTCTTTTTAACCACTTCTTTCCATTATCAGAAAATAACTTAATCCAAGATTTCCAAAACAGTCATTACCTAAAATTTTTTACTTTTTATGACAGGATCAAATTAACCTGCAATTTTTGCCATTCTTTGAGCTGCTTCGAATCAGGAAACGATATCCCATAAATACGGATCAAAGATTCGGCGTCCGATCGTCCTTCCCAGTATGAACTTGACGTTTTAACCACAGTTAAAGCCTTAAATAAAAGTGATGTAACACGATAACTACTAAAGATCTTTTAAAACTCGAACAACGTTAAATCTCAATTCATATCTAGATAAATGCCAAAGTTCATTTTAACTGGTTAGTACAAATTTCACCACACTTCCATTGTACCCATAGAAACT